CCACAAATTACGTAACCAATGATCATAGAAAAACGACTGTCAGTTGTCACAACAGTGTCAAAAATACGTGAAATAAAGATGTCAGAAACGTCAGTAATCAATAAACATGGCAGCTTACCGCCATAACGGCTCTTTGTTGTGTGTTGCAATTTCAAGTGTAATTTCCTGTGCTTTACCAGCAAACAAAGCCATTATAAAATAATTGTACAGTTGACAACCGTTTAAATGTGTTTCCCTATTTTTGAGTATAGTGTACAAGGCTTATATAATAGGCTCCTGAAGTATAACCAATTTAACAAAAAATAATCGTCAATATAGATTCACAATTTACGAATATGTATGTCGCGTAACATAAGAGTACTTAATAACAGAAAAAAAACCAACGTAACGAATTGTAAACCTCCTTTTTTTATGAAGTGGGCAAAATGTGGCTGTTTCCGGTTTTTGAATCGTAGCCGAAACCAACTTTTTATAATAACCCAAACTTTAGTCACCTTAGGTTTCGAATCACAAGAGATTGATATGCTTACGTAAATGTAGTGATTGTACTTGTGGCATTAAAATATATCCTGCGCAGTTTATAATTGCTGATGCCGATAGTATTTCAGCTTTATGGTCGAGTTCGAAGTAGATGTGGACAGTTGGATATCGTGAGATTGTGCCAATTCCTAGAAATAAGCTGTTTGATTTTGCTATGTTGATAATATTCTTCAAGCATTCTTTATATTTTTTTGCCGTAAATTTAAAAGTAAAAAAAGCTTTTATGTAGAGCAAAATATCAATTTTCTAGACTCTTTTGGTGATATGAGGTTTGGGTTGTGATCTGATAACTTTCGGGGACTTCACATGTTCGCGTTTTTCTTAATTACTTAGACTTTTTTTGCTGCCAAGCATATCGTTATATGATTTAATGACGCAAGTGCTGCGGGTTTTGTCGAACTTGGGTTCGTGGATTAACGATAGTAATGGAGTAGTAGTAGGTGCTGGGTACTTACTGGTGTACTTTTGATAGTCAAATGACCCAAGTTCGACATAACACTTTTTATATTATTTTTACCATCATTTAATTGCGACTTCGTCTGCGTAGAACACTTGCATTCAGATCTATAATAGTGGTCTTAAGGCAACCAGTTATAATTATAAAAAAACCACTTTTAACAGCAGTTTTTTTTCTTTTATCTCGAAAACTAATCTGCGATGTGAGATAGTGGTCAAAGTAAAAATTGAAGATCTATTATTAATTTCATGCAAAAAAGATGTAGTTTCATTCATAAATATTCCACCATTTTACAAAAAACTGTTTTGTAAAATGGTGGAATCGATTTTTGCATCAAAAGTGGAAGATCGTTGTAGAACCCTTTTTCGTGTAGCCATAAAAGTTTTATCGGAACTATATATCTTTTACACTTTATGAGATAATCATCAAAAATTATTTAATTTATCAGATTTGCGATTTAACAAAAAAAAAATTACATATTTATCGTAAAAAATATATATCCCTCCTGGCATTGCCCTCTCTCTATCTGTTCCTGGAGTCGCATCGCAATCGGTTCATTCATTCCGAAGGTTAGCCTGTACAGACAGACAGACAAAATTAAAAAAGTTATTAATGGTGAAAATAAACCTCAAAGCTTAATAGAAGCTCGTTATTTCGATATTGCAGTGAGAGAATAATAATAATTTAAATTATATTTTAAATTATTATATTGCTGGATATGTATGTGCCTTTCCCGTTGAGAGAATTTGCATTATAAGCCGCGCTTTACTTCTGTAAAGATTGGCGCTTACTCTCCGTCATCATTCTCGATGGGCGTAAACCAGGCGTAAACGAGTTGGTTACACCGACATTAATCGAAATTCATCATTTTTTTGGAGTTTCTCATATTCGCCTCACGACACTCAGGACCGGCATAAGGTTTATAAGTAAGTAATTATATTATATCAGATTCCTTGATACGTTTTAAAACACGGACAATCCTTGAATATCAATTGCGGATACCCGTGACAGCTGCCGTAGTAAATATTGTATTGACCTTAATACTCGGTCAAAATGCAAGGTTTCAGATTCGAGCCGAGCGATTTTTATTTCTGTACTCATGAACTAACATATAATTGTTTGTCTAGACTGGAGTTATTTTTTTTAAACTTCAAATGTATTTTTTGTACATTCTTTACAAATGGAAATAGGCTAGGTTCTTGGCGTGTAAATGTTATAGCTATGTCGAATGCGTAGTAGATTTAAGCGTTACTTTGCGGAAATTCATTAATATTAATGATGCAAAAATTAATTAGCTACAATCGGTAAGCAAAATTAAAGTCTTCACCTCTGCTTCATCCGTAGTGAATATCGCTGATAAAAATGCCTCAATTGTAATGTTCGTCAGTAAGTTTGAAATAAATAGATCAAGATATCATTAAAAGCAGTCCGTGTATTTGTGACTTTGTGTTTTTTGAACAAATATTTTTTAACTAATCAGAGTTCAACAATTAAGGCCCCATTTACATTTTGAAAAGTGAGAAGTGCGAGTGATAACTGACAAGTGCTTAGTGCGAATTTCATTCCAGCTTATCACTGCCTGTTCACACGCACTAAACACTTGTTATTTGTCAATTGAATTTGCCACTCGCACTTGTCACTTTTCAAAATGTAAACCGGGAATAAGTTTAATGTTTGTTAATTTTTTTTTTATAAAATTCACGTGGCAAACCAACTTAGTTTTCTTTATGGTAACTGGCTACCGCAGTCGATGGATACCCGCAGCCAACTACAAAGAAGGCTACGGATGCGTAGTCATCTCTGAGGATTGAGATGTAATGCCTCGCAGTCTGTGATTATATTGGCTCTATACTCTTCAGTTTGGAACAAAATAGTAAAAGCACTGTTAATTGACAGATTCCTAGGCAAAAAAGAGTTCTACCAGTTAATAAAACGCCTTTGTAATTTCATCTTTGCAACATAATTTAATGAATGAAATTATGAAATTTAAAAGTTCCATTAACTCTCACCACTTAATTTATAATCTTGATATGAAAATATTATTTACTAAAACGTTTTTTTCAACGTTTTACTAAGTCAATTTTGTCCTTATTTGCCTGTTTGGTTCGAATTGTAATATATATATATATGCAATCACGTCCTATCGTCCGCTTTTAAACACATAACTTTCCAAACATAACTTACATTACATTATTAAGGGTAATATCTGCATGCGCAGCAAGGTTCCCGATAACACAACAAGCAGTTCATTTAAAATTCTCTGTCGTTTATTCAGTCACTTATCATGAGAGTTGCATCTGCAAACGTTGTATAAGTATGATTTGATTTATTCGGTAACAAGGAAGTACGTATTTGAATTGTTTCACCATTATCTCTAATCTCTAATACTAGAAGACATTTAGTGACATATTATTTTACATTTTATAGTAATTAAAAAAGATGCGGTACAGTGTACGTGATATAATTTGTAGAGCCATGCTACAGCTATATTTTGGTTGTAGCACGAATGGTTCAGCTCAATCGGGGAAGGACCTATAGTCTTACAGAAATGCCATCGTTAAAATATCACTGTGCTTCGTATGGTGAGTGTAGAGAGCCGAAGCCCCTTTTTATTGGATATGAGGCAATTCCATCTTAGTCCTTACTTGTGACAACGCATCTGCGACAGGAGTTTCGATTCTTAATCGAGGACAAATGTTTATGGGCCACAACATCTACTTATTATTAGGTGAACTGTGTGCTTCTTTGTTACCCTTATTCTATATATTATATAACAGGAATCTATCACCTCAATATTATGTTACTTCCGATTCGCACGATCTGTATAAAAGATTTTGACTGCCTCGTTGTCTAGTAGTCGTAAACACGATCGCTTACCATGAGGTTGTGGGATTAAATCCCGGGTCGGGCCAAAATTAGTTATTGGGTTTTTTTGTCAAGAAATTTTCAGTAGCACCCCGGAATTGGGAAATTGGCGGTTTTTCACCCCCTTGCCTCAGAAAGCACGTAAATCCGTTGGTCTTGCGCCTGATTTTTCTCCGGTCGTGTCGAATTGTCGTACGTTCGGACTACGGGAGTGAAGGAATAGATAGTACATCTGTGCAAACGGGCACTACAACTCCAGTTGGGACTGGCCGGCTTGACAAAAAGTCGGTCTGGACGACATTGTTATTATAAAAGATTCGCTTACTATCTCATCAATTGGGTCCGTCAACGACCAAAACGGATTGTAGGGGAGATACACGTGATAACTCGAGTGAGGCCGGCTCTAGTCTACGTCTGTCATTATTATGGAATATTCCTTTACTCTACTCTCAGTTTTAGTGGTTACTCGCATTATACCGATGGTTTAGTGAACCTGGAACAGCCCTGTGTACGGGCTAGAACCATATAAAGCTATATACGCGTAGATGTACATTTTGAGAAGTGACAAATACGAGTGGCAAGTACAACTGAGAAACGACAAGTGCTTAGTGCGAATTTTATTCACACTTATCACTTGTCAGTGCCTGTTCACACGCACTAAGAACTTGTCATTTGTCGGATGCACTTGTCACTCGCACTTGTCACTTGTCAAAATAAACCGGACCTTAACAAACGTGTTCTAATTACGGCTATTGCACTATGAACTTATATACATTTTTCATTTATTGTGTTAAGTATTACAATGAAACGAACGGTTTTATCTCAGTCGTTAGTATCGACGGTCGGTTTCATACTGGCGTGGGAATGTAGGCGTGTATTGGGATGGGACAAGTTGTAACGACTACCGCATGATGCTTCCATCTTGTGAGCCATAATAACCTGCGATCATATCCCGATTGTGATACAGTTCATGTAAAAAGAGATCTCCGCTTGACGAGAGTTCAGAAGTTAAGCGGTGATTAATAAAGTAACGAACGTATAATAACGGTCTGCTCCAACAAACTTCATCAAAAGATCGGTATTATTATAAGAATATAAGCGTTATTGGAATGAATTTGATCAAGATCTATTGTTGCAGATGGTATGGCTACGAGAGGGACCACAACATCCTCGTGATGGACCTGCTGGGCCCGTCGCTCGAAGACCTGTTCAACTTCTGCTCGCGGCAGTTCACAATAAAAACTGTTCTTATGCTAGCTGGTCAGTATTTTGTAGCCTGGATTCTGCAGCTTTTGATTATACTTATTTATATTTTATCTTAATAAAGATATTCTATTGGTGAACTTAGAACACGGTGATAGGTCCAAATGAAAGAAAATCAATTGCGGTGAAAATTATGGTTGCGACAAGTAGAGAAACCAGACGGAAGGTTGAAAATTCCTGAAAAATAACCCGATTTCCATGATTAACTCTGATATTTTGTTGCAAACGTAATTAACAAGGGTGAAAAGAAACAAAACCAATGGGGGTTGTTGGGGTGACCCCACCCCCTCTCACACCAAAACCTTCTGTATTTTTTTGAAAATCGCTCTCACTAAACTACCTGTGCCGAAGAATTAATTTATTCATTCTGCGTTTTATTTTTTAACGAATTTGTACTGGTTTCGGTTTGGATTAGAACACGAAGCCTGCGACTCGGTAGTCAAATATTATGTCTTATACCGTACGCGATACATATTCATATAACTCAAATCATGTATTTGCATTCCAAGTAAATCTTAAATTCAAAATTTAAAATGTGCCTACAACTTAGACGCCCTTTTCACGCACTGCAAATTTAACGGGGACGCTGCTTATATATAAATTATACTTAGAAACTAGATAAATATAAAAATACCTAAAATACATAAGTGTCATTTTATCAGTAGAAGGGATTTTGTTTTAAATATTTACTGAGGCTTGATAAATTAACCAATTCTATGTTTTTTTTTTTTTTTCTGAGGTAATTTATTGTAAACTTTTATTAGCTTGTATTTTTAACATTTTTGTTCGCGACTGTGGTAGGTATAAATTTATTGTTGTTACGTGTATTTATGGTATGTGTATCTTCAATAGTTTTGAAAAATATTATTATTTTTGTGGACCAACAAAGCATAGATCATAAATTTACGTACAGGACAAGGTAAGAATATTTAGTTTTTTGAAATACGATCTACAGCTAGTAGTGTTATCTATCTGGGCTAGTATTCTAATTTCTAACGCACTTTTGATTCATTAATAGCTGCTGACATCGACGCTACTTCCCCACAACATAACTCCGTACTTAAGCCACGAATGAGCATAGGCATAGCATTCGTGACTGCCGTGGCTGTGTCAGTGGTGATCATTGGTATATTAAATGATTTACATGCTACTAACAGGAAACACTTTGGTTTAGTGATTCATCGGCGACGACTTCTGAATATTTCGAAAATGTTCGATTCATAGGAATCATAAGGAAAACGTTTAGTACTCAAATCTCTTATTGTGAATGAGTCATACTTTCTATTTTTTGTTATATTTGTTTTAATTTTAATTTTACTTGGGCCAGTCAGTTTGTATTTATAATACTATGTTATAAGTTATTTCTCTGAATAATTTTGCTTTGTAACTAACGTGAAAAAGTCTTCATTTTTTATGGTTTAGTAGCTTTATAAAACAAATACTTGAACCTACCAGTGTAGGCAGACCAAACGCACACACAATTATTTTTATTGTTGTAACATCTGGTTTCATCCTGTAAATGCCTTAGGTAGATCTTATATAACTTCTATAGTTTCTTTAACTCTATAGAGTTGTATAAGTTACAAGCCTTCTGTACTTTCAACGCTAATAACCAGTGTTTGTCACTGACGTTTCGAACAGATCAAATGCTGGGTCGCGTGGAGTTCATCCACTGCAAGTGCTTCATCCATCGCGACATCAAGCCTGACAACTTCCTCATGGGAATCGGACGTCATTGCAACAAGCTCTACATGATCGATTTCGGCCTCGCCAAGAAGTACCGGGACATGCGCTCGCGGGCGCACATAGGATATCGCGAGGACAAGAATTTGACTGGTGAGTTGTTTGCGTAATCATTCATTCATTGTAGCTTGTCAAAAGTTCACTGCTTAACGTAGACCTTTGCCATAGATTGGCTGTCTTATTCGCTACGCTCTGCTACCGCAATTTCTTACTATTTTGAGCTGTTATGCTGATGTTTTCCTGTCACAGTTCCCGTCTGTGGCCTCTTTATGAACCACGGGATGACATGGGATAGTAGGTTCTCTGATTCCGTTGCTACACGGCTGTTATAAACCGTGAAACCTGGCAGCTGCATTTTTGGAACGACTTAAAAGTTTAGGACCAATTTTTCTACTAAAAGTTACTCTCATACTGGACGTCAATGTTAAAAGTGATCCTATATTCTTCATAGATTTGGTATTTATTAGTGATTTAAATGAATACTAACATTAAATAAACAAAATACTCAAAAATATAAAATGACAAAGTTAACTGCACTTTGTGGCAACATTGCCATCAGGGTTTATAATGAAATTATATACACAACACTCAGGGTTATGATTTGCTCCTATAATTGTGTTGCAAAAAGCAAAGTTTACGCTTATAGCAAAGTTGCACTCCCATTTTTTATTTTTTAATATAAACTTGAAGATGTGAGTCAGGATTATCAAAAGTTCTTGATTTACGTACTTTACTTAATTTTTTATTTAAATCTGTCACAATAATTCCTGAAGCAAAAATATAATATACATCAAATATAAAATACTCTCCTCTAAAATTAAAAAAGCAAATTGGTGCAATTAAATTAAATTAAAATAAAATTTCAAAATTAGCTCTCATGCTGCCTGTCATATTGAAGAAAATGCTGTCAATACTTGCTATTTTATTTTCATCCAAAAATGGTATATCTCGCAAAACACGTTTTCCGTGTTAATCGTACTTTGTACCAGTACCCCTTTTTTTTTTTTTTTGCGGATGGAAAATCATCCTAATGACCCCTTTCGCTCTGGGTGGAGCGTAAGGGAGTGTCAGACTTTTACTGACTAAAAACCATCCGTGTTCCTTCAGTGCCCTTACGTTCCGGAGCCGCGGTATCTCTTTCGAACAGCCCGCAGCCCCAGCAGGCGTTGGCCCTTACGGGCCCCTTCACGCTGCTGACAGCTCTTTGAGGCGCGCGTGGAACAAAACGCGCCGTCGACACGGCCTGTCGTCGTTAGACGGACGGACGGCGAGCTACCCATTGCTCGCCGTCCACAGGCCCGCGCCTACGGTGGCCGGGGGCCACGACGTAGCCCCCGACGCCCGAGGCGTCTCCCGCGGCGGCCGGGGAGGAAAGCTGCTGCTCTCTCCTTCTCCCGCTCCTCCACCTCCTTCGCTAGCATCACTGCTTCGCAGAAGGTGGTGACGGCATCCCATTCCGTCTCGCTCCGGACCATGGCTTCGACCAGGGCCGGACGCGAGAGGTCGCCGCCGCCTATCGCCGCTACGAGGACACGGCGGTGCTCCGCCCAAGCAGGGCACACCTCCACGGTGTGTTCCACCGTGTCCTCCGGTCCATCCTCGCAGTGGGAGCACCCGAGCGTTTCCTCCCGCCCGATTCGGTGCAGGAACCTCCCGAACACACCGTGTCCGGTGAGGACCTGCGTCAGGCGGAAGGTGAGGATGCAGTGGCGTCTCTCAAGCCACTCCTCGAAGAGGGGTCTTATCGCCGCTATAGTGACGTGCCCAGCACGGGGTTGCGACAGTCGCTCTCTCCATGTCGCCATGAGATCGTGCCGGAAGTCTATCCACTGCGCGACAGTACCAGTACCCCTGATGTCGAAGTTAACTTCTATTGGTAAAATTGCCAGACTTACTGTACTTCGATTATTTATTCACTCTAAATTCTTTAAGTCATGGGCACAAAATGGCCCTATTCCTTACGACATTCCTGGGAGCCTTTTCCTGACATATAAAAAAAAATTAGTGTCTTCTGTTTTTCGTATTTTCCGACCTGTTTTTTTAATCCATAATATAGCTTATATTGGCTACTATGATCGCAATATGATCTTTCTTTTCTCTTTAAATTTCACCAGCATAATACCGCAGAGTAATGAGGTTGTGTTTCCATTTCATCTTGATCTTCAGGGGTAACCACGCGCCCACATTTTAATTCTGAATCGATGATGGTCGCAGATGTCTATCCGCCATAGCGTTGACTTACCATCAGGTGGAATATGTGCTCGCTTTTAACCTTTATTCTATAAAAAGAATTTCATCAGTCGTCTCATACGTCACCCGGTATAAAATTAGATGTAATGTATCGTTTATCGATGATGAAGTTTACCTGCCTACACGCAAGTTAAGTTCGATTGCTGGTGCACGTAAGCTATGGACTAATATATAACATTTGCTCTCAGGTACGGCGCGGTACGCGTCCATCAACGCTCACCTCGGTATCGAGCAATCGCGACGGGACGACATGGAGTCACTCGGCTACGTACTTATGTACTTCAATAGGTGAGTCCCATCTTAATATCAGTCTCATTTCGTTGTACTTACACTTGTTGAGTGTTTTCTCCGTCATTCCATTCATTCATTATAGGCTTTGCCTTATATGAGAGATGTTTTCCAGGCTTAGCATGCAGATTTTTATTTATTTATGTTATTTTTACTGCACCAAAGATATTGTTCAAAAGGCGAGCCTAATGCTACATTGCATTCTTTACCAGCTAACAGTGACTGAGTTAAGGTGTCATAACATGATCGATGTCATTGTCGGGTTGACAAAAGTTTTATTATTTTGGGAACATGCTGCTGCCCATATTTGCTTTCAGTTTCCTTCTACTACTACTAGTACTAGGATGGTACGGAACGTGGGTTCTCTTACAGCGCCACTATACGGCACGAATAAACACACGACGTGGAAGGTTTATTTTTACCAATTATGATACGACACGTTGATTCTTAACCCCTCCGCCGGCAGCTAAAGTGATGAACATTACTCGCTCGCTATGCCTGGCGCGATGTAGCTAAAAATAATTTAATCTTGAATTTGTCGTACATTTATTTTTAATAATATTCATTATAAGTTTCAATATAATACTTGTTTCTGTTTATTTCATCATCATCGTCATTACAGCCCTTCACTAGTCCACTGCTAAACATAGGCCTCCCCCAAGGTATGCCACAAAGCACGGTCCTGAGCCACCTGCATCCATCGACTTCCTGCAACCTCACCAGGTCGTCACTCCATCTAGCAGGGGGTCGCCCTTCACTAAGCCTACCGGTACGAGGATGCCACTCGAAAACCCTTCTTCCCCAACGGTTGTCGGTTCTTCGAGCTATATAGCCAGCCCATTGCCACTTCAGCTTACCAATCCGTTGGGCTATGTCGGTCACTCTGGTTTTATTGCGGATATCCTCATTTCTGAGTCTATCACGCAGAGAAACTCCGAGCATAGCCCTCTCCATAGCTCGCTGAGCGACTTTGAGCGTCCTCATACGGCCAGCAATGAAGGACCACGTCTCAGATCCGTAAGTCATCACTGGCAACACGCACTGGTTGTACAACTTAGTTTTCAGGTTTTGAGTATATCTGACGAGAAGATGCGTCGTAATTTCCCGAACGCTGCCCAGCCGAGTTGAATCCGTCGATTGACCTCTCGGTCGAAGTTTGATACCAAGCGGACTATTTCGAACGCAACAACTCAACTACCAACAACTACGGGCATAGGTGTGACATGGACATTAAATGATCTTTGTTTTGTCCATGTTCATCTTAAGACCTATCCGTTGGGAGGCACTATTGAGGTCATTGAGCATAGTGCTTAAGTCCTCCAGCGATTCTGCCATAAGGACTATATCGTCGGCAAATCGAAGGCGAGTGATGTACTCGCCATTGATGTTAATACCGTATCCTTCCCAGTCCAGTAGCTTCCAATGCAGCGGTGAAGAGTTTCGGGGAAATGACGTCACCCTGTCTTACACCTCTCTGCAGTTGGATAGGTTTCGTACTTCTGTTTATTTATTATGTTATATTACTTGTTTTAGTGCTTTTACTTCATTACAAATAGATTTTAATTGTGTTTTCGTAGTTAAAAATGTACGTACCCAGCACAGAACGGCAGCTTGAATATCACAATTATTTCTATATATATTAGTTGAAATTATTTGCGTAAAAATATAAATTATATTCACACAAAAACCTTTATAACAATTTTATAATAAAACTCTATACTAAACACTAATAAAACACTTTAGTAAAAAATCCAAAAATCAACACACTAACACGCCACACGAAATATGCGTACGAAATGAACGTAGATTATAAATAAAAAACCATAAAACTAACTACTTTTTATTACATTAGAGGATAGGAAATTTCATATTGAGCCTATAATGCCAAACTTATTCATAGAAAAGTGGTCTGTAAATATAAGTTTTATGGGTTAAAGTGCTGTGGGTGGGTGCGGTCTCATGAGACCACTAGGGATTTGACGGAATATGACCGCTTCGGGTTTGAACGGACATTTTACAGATCCTTTAACTTCTACACAACATTGATTTCATATTACACCGTTAGACAGATTCGAATTTTCTGAACAACCAAACTGGCAAAAGTAAAACGCTCGTTATTGAAAGTGATCACTGTTGGCTGTTACAACATGTTATGACCTGTTGAGCGCCACACAATATAATACAAACACAGCCGCTTTATGAACCGGCAACAAAACTGTATTTTCAACGTACTTTATTATGCCGGTTATCATACTCGCGCATTTGTATTTATAATTATTAGTAATGGTAAAATGGTGTGAGATTAATTTTAGCGTTATAATTTGCGTTATTTATAATGTATGCTCAAACATATTGGATAACAGGTTGATTGACTTAGTAATGGTAAAATGGTGTGAGATTAATTTTAGCGTTATAATTTGCGTTAAGTATACATAATGTATGCTCAAACATATTGGATAATAGGTTGATTGACTTATAGTTTCTGAAGGATCTTGAAGTGGAATTCCAGTCGGTAATGGGGCCAATATTTGTATAATACTAGCATAAATTATTTGTTGACGTTCGGGAATCCAGATCTTCACCTCGTAACCATGCCATGCACCAACTACTGGACAAGAAGTTAGAATGTTTGTATCCCCTCATTGAAGGGATCGTACAAATTTACAAAATAGACAAACTTATACATGACTATTATTCAAAGAGTAGCCAAATTTTAAACTTTCAAATTTTAAAGTTTCAATATATAGATACTGGTACTGTTATTGCAGTTTTTGAAAATAGGAGTAAATAAGGCTTCTACTTTTATTTGAAATTATACCAAATTTGATGTATATTATGGGCAACAACATTTTTGCCTACCGATACCGATCGACCCTTACGAATGTGTGCGTGCTAATGCATTACAACGCATTTTGAATTTAAAATTAATTTTTCACATTTGCCTTTATTACTTATTCTGAACCAAATTTGGCTGGTTATTGCAAAATAACCCCGTACAGTGTAACCTAAAATCTAACGGATGATATTAGTAATCACTAATAACCTCAATAAAATTTGAGTCTGCGTGCGTCTCACTGTATCATAATATTTGTTTCTTATTTGTATTATTATTTGTTATTTTCGATTTTATTTGTTTAAAAATAAAACAAGTAATTACTGAATGAAAACTTAAGGCGACACCGCGAAAATATGCACCTCCTTTCATCGAATAGTATGGGACTATGACACCACTAACGAAAGTGGGATTTTGATATAGGTAATTTCATGTCTTTAACCTGAATTTGATTGTTCAAAAACACGATTGTATAATTTTGACTCAATCATAATTATTTGCGGAAAAACCTCTAAAAATCACTATAGTTGAAATTACAACGATATTACTTAATCTATATGCTGGGGAATCACTCAATCAAATATATTCATAACATAAATATTCATCATTTACTTGCTCATTATTTTGATTACATAAATAAATATTTAAAAAAATATTTTAAGGCGCTACCTCCAGCGAACGACCTTGAGCATTTGGTCTGTCGACGCTCGCTACAATATATCGCGTAAGAAATGGCCAAAAGACGCCACCTACTGCTACGAACGTAGTATTATTTTTTCAATGTCAATGAACTCTTCTATGGAAATAGACATGGCGTACAATGATAAATGTATTTTAATTTTCTTTATTCGGTATATTAGTTGCATTATATTAGAATTATGTATTCTAATATATTATCTAATTAATAAAAATGACTATTTTGATTATTTTTAACTATATACTATACTGCTAATATTGAATTAGCTTTTTATAGTGTAAATTATAATATTTGTCGAAATATTAATTATGGATTCGAACTTTACATGCTAATGGTGCTTCATTTTTGTTATTTTCATTTACTTACATATTGAAAATATACTTGAATAGTAGTTATTATTATTTTATTTAGCTACTGAATTTTAGGATATGTTTTACCTTGAGGTCAAATATAATTTTGAGGAGCAATAGTTATTACCTACTAATCTTTTATTTGCTATTCCTTATTTAGGAGCAATATTAGTAAATTGAGTTTGAGGGAGATTTACTGTTTATAATGCTACATTTATTATTTTAATATTTACCTACTGGGTAGGTGATTATTAAAATAATAAATATAGCATTAGTAACTAAATAGATATTTTTTTTAATTTTTAAAATTAAAATTTTCGTATTTTAAAAAATTACTAAAAAAAGGGTTTGAAATAATAAATTTTCTCACAAAAGAAGGGAACTTGAAAAAAAGGAAAAAAAAGCGGGATCAAAGCCAAGACGCGAACCACGGAACTCCGATATCACGCCCGACCGACATACCACCTGAGCTATAACGACCGTTAACGATTAGTCGAAATTTACCTTCTTATATTGTAGCAGTTTTTTTATTGCCTGAAAACATAGACAAAAGGACATTTTCTAAAAATAAATCCAAGCGTTCGTCGCTAAAATCGTTGGAGCCGTATAATTTTCTCATCTGGTTCGGTTATATAAATATTTAAATATATAAAAATTATAAATTAAAATGAAAAGATAAATATACATTAATATCAATAAAATAAAATAAATACAAAATAATATTATATTTATTGTTATTATTATTATTATAAGTTGTGGTTCGGTGAAGCTGCAACCTAATGGACCATGATATGAAAAGTGGTTGTTGACGTCAATTATTATTATTCTTATTATTTTTTCATTACTACCTTTTTCAACCTCACAAGATATTTGTAACTGCAAAAAAAAACTACGTATAAGTAAGTAAATCAGTAATATAGTGTTATGTATGATTCAGACTAAATAAAGGTTCCTAAAAATAGACGTAGATAAAGAAATTGCATAAAAAATTACTCAAATAAAAATGCAATAAACTTGTTAATTTTATAGGTACTTAGTAAAATATTAAAATAATAAGTTTTTTAGGATATTTATGTAAAATATAAAGGTTATATTATGTTCTAACTACGTTCACGCTTGC